TTTTCTCCTTGTGTTCAGGTTGCCTTCAAGATGGCAATAAAGAAGCATGGTGGGGAAATCTCCAAGAACAAGGAGTTTGCTTTGGCTGATTGGTAGGTATTGCCTTGGGAATGGTCAAACGATTGAACTACCCATTGGCTCCTCTTGTCACTGGCTAGATCTCCTCAGAACAAATTTCCGATTCTCCTGTCCTGATAGGAAGGAACTAGGGAGTCCAGAGGGCATGCTGATGTGTCCCTCCATTGAGGAGTTGAAGAATGTCTGGCTTCCTTTCTCCATTCGCATGAAGATGACCAAGAACAAAGGGCTGGATGTTTGCAATTGGACTGATGGGGATGAGATGCAGGTTGTTGAAAAACTGGGAAAAGGAAGGGGAATAAGGGAGAGAAGGTTGGGGCAGAAGCATGACAGGGGGAAGGTGGAACTTAGTATAGGGAAAAGAAAAGGAATAAGGCCTAGTATTTACCAGTTGTGGGCTTTTCCATAGTCACTCAGTTCAGTGTTGCGAGTCATAGATGGGTTAGGATGGAGATAACCCACCCTGGTCCCCCGTCCCCATGCCCCAAACTCCTTATCCTCTGTCCCCATTCCCCTTCCTTCCCCATCCTTAAACTTAGCTTAGCAGCCTGGGTACCCCCCTCACAGTGGGGCCCAGCCAGGGCAGAGGAGGAGCATGGTGTCTATGTGTATGACCTGATGGCTACTGTGGTACACATCCTGGACTCACGCACAGGGGGCAGCCTGGTGGCTCACATCAAAGTTGGAGAGACCTACCACCAGCGCAAGGAGGTGAGTGAGGTAATATAGGGCAGGGACTCTCCTGGTGGTGGCCATGATGGAGTCCCAGATCCATCTTTATCTCAAGTCTGAGCCAGAGTGGTCCAGCCATCACTTTGGCATCAGTCTTTCTCTGTATCTCCACAGGGTGTTACCCACCAGCAGTGGTATCTCTTCAATGACTTTCTTATTGAACCTATTGATAAGGTTAGTTGTAACACATTCCATTCTCCTTTCATCTCCCCTTTTCCAAGCATCCTCATCCTCAGGGCCCTAGAGAATGCCAGGCAGATTCAGGAGGGAGGGATGGGTCCTCAAGAATAAAAAGCATTAGCGGAGCTAAAAATAGTGCCTGTCTTCTGTCTGACTTGGGGAAAAAGGCAAAAGAGGGGCCGGCTCCGTGGCTTAGCGGTTAAGTGTGCACGCTCCGCTACTGGCGGCCCGGGTTCGGATCCCAGGCGCGCACTGACGCACTGCTTCTCCGGCCATGCTGAGGCCGGGACCCACATACAGCAACTAGAAGGATGTGCAACTATGACATACAACTATCTACTGGGGCTTTGGGGGAAAAAAAAAAGGAGGAAGATTGGCAATAGATGTTAGCTCAGAGCCGGTCTTCCTCACAAAAAAAAAAAAAAAAGGCAAAAGAGACATATAGGTAGGCCATTAAGTGCTTTTTCTTTTATAGCATGAAGCTGTGCAGTTTGACATGAATTGGAAAGTGCCTGCTATCCTTTATTACATCAAAAGGAATCTTAATTCCAAATACAACCTGAACAGTAAGTGGTACAGAGTAGACCCAAGGGCATGGGCAGCTGAGACTGGTCTTCAGGAACAGATCTGGGAAATAGCTTGTTATGATTAGGATCAGTAACCAGTGTTAATATTTCCAGGGATACTAAAGAGATTCCTGCTCATCAGGCCTGAAATTTAGAAGCTGGAGATCCTGAGGGTGTAGTAGGGAAGAAGTGTTGGGGGGAAGTCTAATCATAGTGGCTAAGGGTATGAATTTTGAGTCTTCCCATTCTTATCCCCAAGGGAGGATCTCTTTTTCTTTTGGAGATGAGCTCCTTATTAAGTCCCTTTTTGGTGCCTTTAAACCATAGTTTCTGTGTAACTTTATTTTTCTGGATTTTCTAAGCTAAAGTCTGAAGTGAAAATCTTATTCTTTCCTCTCTGTTGACTCTTGTTTTTTCCTAGCATATTTCTTGATAATTTTCTGATTTGACCTGTTCCATCTACCTACTCTGTTCATTAGACATGATCTTTTTACTCACATGCTTTGATTATTGAAGAATCACAGTGTCGACCCAGTCTCTGGTCAGCCACCATGGGCTGCCCTCCTCTGGTCACTTCCATATCCCCAGCCATCTGTCTTCTGGATTCTCCCTTCCAGTCAAGAACCCTATTGAGGCAAGTGTCCTGCTAGCTGAAGCCTCACTAGCACGGAAGCAGCGGAAAACACATACTACTTTCATTCCGCTGATGGTGAATGAGATGCCACATGTTGGAGACCTGGTGGGCCTGGACGCTGAGTTTGTCACCCTTAATGAGGTAACCAAGATCAAAGGGTAGGGTATTTGAACAGAACTCTGGGGATATTAGGAGTCATAAGCATTTCTCTGATTTCCTTATTAACTCTTCTCATGTAGGAGGAAGCAGAGTTGCGCAGTGATGGCACTAAGTCTACCATCAAACCAAGCCAGATGTCAGTAGCGAGGATTACCTGTGTTCGGGGCCAGGGACCCAATGAGGGTATCCCCTTCATTGATGACTACATCTCTACCCAGGAGCAGGTAGTAGGATATGAAGGTGCAAGTGAGACAGACCCTCTGCTTATGTAGAGTGCTCTAGAACCCAGGGAAGAGTGGTAGGGGGAGACTCTGCACCTTGCTTCCTGGACGACTTGTCCTTTTCTCTATCCCTAGGTGGTAGATTACTTGACTCAATACTCCGGGATAAAGCCAGGAGACCTCGATGCCAAGATTTCCTCTAAGCACCTCACAACTCTCAAGTCTACCTACTTAAAGCTTCGTTTTCTTATAGACATTGGAGTCAAGTTTGTGGGTCATGGTCTGCAGAAGGACTTCCGGGTCATCAACCTCATGGTTCGGGCGGGGCTCTTTTAAGAGTCTTCTTTGAGCATGGGCCTCTCAGGGTATACATTGTGCTTTTGGAAAAGGGGAAATTATGGGTCCTCTACCTTCAGTTTCCCACTCTTTTATCCCTGCCAGGTGCCCAAGGACCAGGTCCTTGACACTGTCTATTTGTTTCACATGCCCCGAAAACGAATGATTTCCCTGCGATTCCTTGCTTGGTACTTTCTAGGTGAGTTGCTCTGTCTTGTAGGGCCTCGTGGTACTCATTAAAAGCAGGAAAAAGTGTTGGAGGGGCCAAGGGGAGTAGGGAGGACCCTGAGTTAGTGGTGAGATTACTGATGGATTTAATTAGTTTCAGTATCCCTTCTGTGCACTAGGGATGGTGTTTGGCTCTTTCCCTTAAGGGCAGTCAGGTTTTTTATTGTTGTTTATTGGGAGTTGAGAATGTTCTGACCTCCCTTTGCTAGGTCCCAAACTATTCTACCTCTACTTGCCCCAGACCTGAAGATTCAAGGGGAGACCCATGACAGTATTGAGGATGCCCGCACAGCCCTTCAGCTCTACCGAAAGTATCTGGAGCTAAGCAAAAATGGCACTGAACCTGAGTCCTTCCACAAAGTGCTCAAGGGTCTTTACGAGAAGGGCCGAAAGATGGACTGGAAGGTGCCTGAACCTGAGGGCCAGACAAGTCCCAAAAGTAAGGCCTGGGATGGGACAAGGGAAACCAGACTGGGTTTTGATTGCACATGTGAAGATTATACCCTCCATAATAACAATGATGATGATGATGTTAACAGCGGTACCATCCCTACCTTATATATGTAGAGCATTTAACAGTTTACAAAGCATTTAATCCTCCCAACATTCAGTGAAATAGATTTTATTATTGAAACTCTCCATTGGTCCTAATTTCCTCTTGCCCACTTCTAAAACATTTGGGGTAGGTCTGTGTCCTCTTTTCGCTTGCATTTTTCCTTCATAAGAAGTATCCCAGGTGCTTTTTCTCCACTCATCTTAAGAGTCAATGCTCTTGGTTTTGTCTCTGACAGGTGCAGCTGTCTTCTCCTCAGTACTGGCGCTCTGACCTCACCCTCTCCCAACGAACTGCTGCCTTTCCTTTCAGTGTTCTGTGGCCCCAGAACTGGGACATGGCTTCCCAAGTTGGCTGCACCCTGTCCACTTCTAGAATTGGACCTACTTGGGGTCTACAGATGGTGCTATTAATAGAACTGGAATGTGGCACAATTGTTGCATAGGGTCTAGGAGCCAGATTCCTTTTTTAATCTTTGCAAAATAATGGGCTAGAAACAGTCTAGAATTGACACAGATGGCAAGTAATTGGTATTCTTAATATCCTGGGTAATTAATATCCAAGCAGAGAAACTCCTGGAACCAAAACTGTCAGTTCCTAGTTGGCTAAGGACTGACGTTCTGGACAGTGACAGGATACAACAGGAGCTCAAGACTTAGCTCAAGTCTCTGACTGCTTGCAGGGTGCCTGGAGGGGCCAACATATACAATCTTGGTGGCTCTAGCAAACCAGTGTTGCCAACACCATCATTGCCAAAAGGGCCTTTGGGTCCTAGACAAAGCTTGGCTGCTGGCTTCACTCCTGCTGACAGCTGAGAAGCATCTGTCTTCCATCCACTCTCCTGTCCCAAGTTTTGTTTTTTAAAATTTTGTTTTAAACTGCATGTTTTATAAAATAAAAACAAAAATATTATTGGCTGTCATCTCTCATTTGAGACCTTCGAGTGTGGGGTTCTCTGACTTTGGCCCTCCTCTCCTCTCTTTCTATTGGCTCTCTATTGCAAATGGAAAAAACCAAGGCTTTCAAATTTCCACCTAGAAATGAAGGTAAAGCTCAGGAGTCCAAAGTTAAGGATATTGGAGTAGTATAATTATGTTCTTCCTGGATAATATTACGTATTTGCTGTGGCTGCCTAGAACCCTAAGGTGAGATTTTAAGATGTACAGTATGGTTTCCCCGTTACCTGTGTAAAAGGGGAGGTGGGGAAGCTGACAAACTACAGGTCCCAGGATATCTTAAGACCTGTAGCTATTAACCAAGGATCTGTGTGGTGCTGCGCTGCTTCCTGGGAGTTGTAGTTTCCTGGGTATTGAAACCAGGGTTTCTCACTGGCGAGCAGCGCTCCTTTCTTTTTGAAGGTCCTAGCCCACCTAGACTGACGCGCGCTCGCCCGACCGCCTCCATACACCACACCGGGCTCTGTCCTTGCTTCAGGCCACTCCTGTTCTTCGGCTGACCCCTGGTGGTCACGTGGAGCTGCTCGCCACGCAAGTCTGGGTCCTTCTGCGATCCACCCGGGTCCTCGCCGCCTGGGAGCCGCTCCTGTAGCTGCCTGTTCGCGCGAGAGTTTGGAGGGGCCGGTTTGGGGTCGGTCTCTGGCGTGGGGCTCGCACCGCAGCGCATCGGAGTTCTGCTTGGGCGCCCGCTTAGGGTGCGAGGAGCTGGGTTAGGCGGTCGCCGGGGCACCCCGTGTCTGGACAGCGCCGGAGCGCTCTGGAGAAGCCGGGACAGCCCCGCTCCCGGCAGCCAGGTGCTAGGGTCGGGTGCTAAAAGTGCGAGTCCGGCCGTCTTCCAGCGCCTGGGCCACGGCGGCGGCCCTGGGAGCAGAGGTGGGACGGATGCGAGTGGCGCTGAGGGTCGGGGACGGACTGGAGCGAAGGCAGTGGCGGGGTCCTTAGAAAGGTGCTTGCTCCTCACGAGAAATAGCGTCTAGGCTGGAGGTGGGGATGCAGTGATCTTCCGTGCTGGGTCCAAACAGACCCTAGTGTTGAGTGCTGTCCTCGCCGGCCGGCCTCCTCGCTGCCTCCTGGCCTGAATCGGCTGCTCTCCTTGCCAGCAGCTCCTCTGTGCCTGTCGTCCTCGCTTAGTCGCCACCCCGTTCCGTGGCTGCCACATCGCCCTGTGAGTTTAGCAGCCGACGGTGAAGTACCATCATCTAGGGCCTCACCTGTCGACGTAGTGTCGGGCTGAGCCCCAAGTCCCCAACTCGTTCTCTTACCCACCGCCCGGGGGAATCCGGGTCCTCAAGCGCCGGAACAGAGGAGCTCCTTTGTGTCCCGGCCATTTCCTGGAAAGTAGAGCCAGAGTCACACTGCGGCCTCTGTAGGCCTTGGGATGACGGATGGGTTGGGGGAGGCGGCGTGGGGAGGATGGAGCCAGCTCCCCACATCTATGCTTTATTTCAATCCAAACCCAGGTGGAGCAACCCCATTACGCTAAAGATGAAAGGCTGGGGTTGGCTGGCCCTGCTTCTGGGGGCCCTGCTGGGAACTGCTTGGGCTCGGAGGAGCCAGGATCTACACTGTGGAGGTAAAGGCACAGAGAGAAGTGGGAGTAAGGAGGATGGGGAAGACAGAACCTTGGGAGGGCATGAGATCCAAGGCCTAGTAGAAGGATGAATGGAAATTCCCTGGCTTTGTTTCCTGTCTCTCCCCACCCGCCCTTCTCTCCCCTTGCACCAGCTTGCAGGGCTCTGGTGGATGAACTCGAGTGGGAGATTGCCCAGGTGGATCCCAAGAAGACCATTCAGATGGGCTCTTTCCGAATCAATCCAGATGGCAGCCAGTCAGTGGTGGAGGTAACTGTTACTGTTCCCCCAAATAAAGTAGCCCACTCTGACGTTGAATGAGAACTCAACTAATTAAGAAGGACCTTGGTTTAATAGAAATTAAGAAAACATTGACCCAGAGAGGTGTCTAAAAGATTGGGCTGTCTCATTGGGAAGAGGCTTATGGCTTATACCCTATGCACTTGCTTCATGGCTCCAAACCTTAATGCTTTATTTCTGCTGTAGAAGTTGTCAGCAGACAGAGAACCCTGATCAGCCCCCTTCTCCACATCCTTAATCCATGTGACTCAGCTTTTCACTATGACAGTAAGGTACACATATGAACATTCATTCAAAAAAGAAATAGATCAGCTTACCCTTGTATTTAGGAAATTTATTTTAGTTGCAAACATAACACAGGTACTCAGATGTTCCCCCACCCCCCAAGTGAGCAATATATAAAGAAACGTTAAGGTTATGATGCTTGTGAAATACTTTAACAGTTGCTATCCTCAAAGCCTACACTTCCTCTCTGATGCTCTCCTGTTGAGGGCAGGTATTAGTCTCATTGTAATACAAGGAAATAAAATCATTACCTTACATCCATAAAAATTAAGGGAATTCAAAGGAAAAGAACACAGTTGACTAGGGTTAATCAAAGAGGTCTTTGTTTACCTACAATTTGGAGGGAAAGACACCTCTTTTATTTCTTAGCTTGTATAATGAGGTAAAATAAGATCATATATTTGAAAGCACTTTGGAACTATACAAATAAACCATACTGTTTTTAATTAGGGAAGGCTTTTTAGAATAGGTCGGTAGAGCTAGATTTGGAAGGAAAAGTAAGGATATAAATTACTAATGTTCAGAGGTAGAAGAGTGTGACCCAAGGCTGAGGACATTTCTAGGTGCCTTATGCTCGCTCAGAGGCCCACCTCACAGAGCTGCTAGAGGAGGTATGTGACCGGATGAAGGAGTATGGGGAACAGATTGATCCTTCCACCCACCGCAAGAACTATGTCCGTGTAATGGGCCGGAATGGAGAATCCAGCGAACTGGACCTACAGGGCATCCGAATTGATTCAGACATCAGCGGCACCCTCAAGTTTGCGGTGAGCTATGGGAGTGGGTGGCTGGTTCTTGGAAATTACGAGAGTTATTGGAGAGCCCAAGGGGAAAGCTGGGTTAATGTCTTTGTCCTCCTCTGGAGGCAGAGGCAGGAGGCCTCTTCTTGCTGCCCTCTCACTCGTTTCTTCTTTGGTTGACAGTGTGAGAGCATTGTGGAGGAATACGAGGATGAACTCATTGAATTCTTTTCCCGAGAGGCTGACAATGTTAAAGACAAACTTTGTAGTAAGCGAACAGGTAAACTACTCCTGCCTTACCTCCTTTCCTCACAGCCCTGTGGAACCTGGCACATTCCCTAGTGTATCCCCCCACCCGACCGCCCAATCTTCTGATATTAGCTCACAAGTTGGCTTCCATTACCCATGGCTTATGGACTTGGGTTGTTCCTCTCCGTTCTCTTCCTGCCAGCTTTCAGAATTTCTGGCTCCCTCACCTGAGATACAGGTGAGAGGATAGTGGGAATGTTTTGTCATTTGAAAGCATATGCTCTGGAAAATGGTGGTTGGTGTGTGTGCCACTTTGGTTTTGGGTATTTTGATTGGGGCATATATCAGTATGAGAGGGGCACTTTCCTTCCAACTGTTCTGTGCTATTTGCAGATCTGTGTGACCATGCCCTGCACATATCGCATGATGAGCTATGAGCCACTGGAGCAGCCCAGACTGACAGGCTTGATGGATCACCCCCAGGAGGGGCAGAGGGTGGCAATGCGTTTTGTATTATGTTTTTACTGAAATGAACTGAGAAAAAATGAAACCAAAAGTACGAACTGTGTTGTCTTTTCATGCCCAGAATCAGCCGTTACGTTAGGCTTAAAGACAGGGGCTTCCAGACAGGAAAGGAAAGGGAAGGGAAGGAAGAGCTTTGGGAATGGTGTAGCACCAAGGGAAGAGGAGCCTGAAGCTTTCATTCTTTTGCCGTCTGAGATTGTGCTGGACTCACAAACTAGATAAGCATTTATTTAGTGCCTCCTCAATACAATGTATTTAAAGTCTAATTGTGGAGAGAAGAGGAACCTCTATGAATAAATAAGGGAACACGAGTGGGGTAGTATAGGATTCTAGAAACTAGTTGTATTCATACTGGTGAAACGTGAAGTAAGATAGAGCTTGATCTTGAAGGAAACGATGGACTTGCATTATTCTTCCCTCCTCGCTCTTCCAGATTGAGGGATGAGCAAGAGTAGACAGGAAGGGGAAAATGGATGTGATCAACTCAGCTGAAAAGTAAGGGCTTTCTCAGATAGGGAGAGATGAGGTAAGGAATGTTATTTAATGAAAGGACTTACTTGCTGGCCTAAGCTTTTAGATTTGATGCCAACAGCAACACTAAAGTATACCTTCCTCGTCTCCATCACTAGCCATTGTCAAGCTGGACTAAAGTCTGTGCCCACTTCCTGTAGAGATTCTGTACTGGGCATAGGGATGAAAACCTAAAGGCTATCTTCTTTGAGGAGCTTCTTAAACACCCTGATCCTGAGGTGTGGCTGTCTCAAGGTTTGGAATGGAACATTTCTGTCCCAGGGAAAGAACACCTAAATAAACATTTTGAAGACTTTTAAAATTAAGCATTTTAGAATCTAAAGCGGGGCCGGCCCTGTGGCTTGGTGGTTAAGTGCGCGCCCTGCAATGCTGGTGGCCCGGGTTCGGATCCCGGGTGCGCATCGAGGCACCACTTCTCCATTCATCCTGAGGCCGAGTCCCACATACAGCGACTAGAAGGATGTGCAGCTACGACATACAACTATCCACTGGGGCTTT